CCAGTTTGGCCAATGTACATAGCAGAGGGGCATTGCTGGCACATGATGGCATATATAAGATTGGTGGCCATGCAGGTGAATGAGCCATGATTGAACTAACCTCGTTATCTCCATACTGATTTATACCTGCCTCTGGAAATTTCCATTACTTGCATCTGAAGAAGTGAGGTTCTTACCCACTAAAGCTTATGCTCCCAATATTTCTGTTAATCAGGAAATGAATGATTGTTTGGTTATTTCATTTACCAAAGGGTAATTGAAGCAGATATTTATGAAGTCATTGGGAGGTGAACTATCTCCAATTCAACAGGTTAATCGTTAATATTTGGAGGATTTTCTTGTCATGCTGTATTAGAAGGAGAACATCACCAGACAGACATTTCAATTGTTCTATTTAACTAAAACAACACAGTATGTATTCTGGATTTTTTTCTTCAACAGCAAACATATTTTAACACAAGAAGCGCATGAATTTTTGAGTTTAGTTAAACAGTCAAGGTTTGTTTTTGCTAAAATTGTTTAACTAAAATAGTTAAATATATTAAAACAAAAACAAAAATTAAATCGACTGTCAGCCAGGTCAACATGAGAAACTTAAAAGTTTTGGCTTCTGCAGCTAACTCCGTCGTCTTCACCTTCATTTTCCTGTTTGTTCATAATCTGGAAAAGAAAAACAAGCTTTCCTGCTTTTTCATGTCCCAAATGATTTTTCAGTTTGGAATGAATTAGTCCAAAGGAAGAAAATATTCTTTCTACACAGAAAAAGCTACTGCTGTTAAAAGTGAGATTATCACTTCAACAGTCTCTAAATCTAAGTGCTTAAGTGACTTCCACCAGTTCACTGGTGTGACTTCCTTTAAAACATCATCAGGAAACATCTATTTCTTTAATGGTTCTTATTCCCCAACTGGGTCTTTTTTACAGCCTACTGCCATTATATGTTTTCCCTTCTAGTGAGAGAATGGTATGGTAGATCTCAAATCAACAAAGACTACGCTCAGAAAGACCTCAAGACTTCTGGAATATGCTGCTCAAACAGTTTCACTTTTGTTTCTACTGCCTGTTCCTCCCTTGTCACATTTATCTCCAAACTACTTCTCCTTGTCCAGATCTATTCTGTCCCCAGCAATTTTCTATTCCAGGGGTCGGCAACCTTTCAGAAGTGGTGTGCCAAGTCTTCATTTATTCACTGTAATTTAAGGTTTTGTGTGCCAGTAATACATTTTACATTTACAGGGGCCAGCAGATGGAACCCCAGACTGGAAGCGGGCTGAGCGGGGCCAGTGGCCAGGACTCGGGCTGGCAGTGGGCTGAGTCGCTCAGTCTGCTGCCGGTCTGGGGTTATGGCCGCTGGCCCCGCTCAGCCCACTGCCGGCCCGGGGTTCTGTTCATCCAGGCCGGCAGTGGGTTGAGCGGGGCCGGTGCCTGGGACCCAAGCTGGCGGACGGAACCCCAGGCCGGTAGCAGAGTGCCACTGAAAATCAGCTCGCGTGCTGCCTTTGGCACGCATGCCATAGGTTGCTGACCCCTGTTCTATTCATTGAACTTTTTGAAACTTTGCACTTTTAGAGAGAGGTAAGGCATTGAGTCTGTATACACAAATTTGCAGAGGGACAATAGGGTTGAGATCTGTTATCTCACCTCTGTATCTATGTATGTTAATATTTTTTGCTGTTAACAAGCATGTTATCTCTGGAAACACAAATCCTCAGTTTGAGAACTGCAAAACTAAGCATCTCTGATGGTATCTTCTAGACTGAGCACTGAGTCCCATTGGGTAGATAAAAAGATTAAACTAAATCATCTGTACAGAAGCCCCTGGAACCCCATAATATTGGGTCCATAGTCCATGAACTATTGGAACTCATTTACAAAACTTTTCTTAAACATTACATTATATTATCTCATACTATAGAATTAGAATTTATAATCCCTATTCCATGATGACATATCTTTGAGCTATAATGCATCTTAATTAAAACTATCTTTAGATAGGCTTTTTCCTCAAAAAGTATTTTATCAAAAAATCCGATTTAAATACCCCCCCCTCCTTTTTTTTTGAAATCATTGATTTTTATCCACCCCGCTTTCTCTTAATATAGCCACAGATCATACAGTAGGATTTAAAACCCTGGCTGTCTTGGACCGTGCCAGTATGAGAAGAGTGCAGTGTGTGTGTGTCTCATATATAGAGTTATGCATATGTGCGTGTGCTACATGCATCCCTGTGTCTGCAGGCATCGCTCATTTTGTAATCTCAGTTGTGAATCGGTTAGCAGTATTCAGTTACATCTCAGATAGAATAAATGACTAGTTGCATATTTACTTCTTTTCTCCTTGATTGGAATCCATCTTAAATTGCATGTGATGGGGAGGAAGGGGGGAAAAGGGTGGCTGGGGAAATGGTGTGGCTTCTGCACTCAAGTGGCCTAAAGGTCACCCCACAGTACATAATATTCTTCTTAATAATTGCATTGGCCATAAGCCAGCAAAATCCTACTACTTATGTTGCAGTTTCTCACTAGGAATAATAAAGATGGCAGCAGCCTCTTACCTGTCAGTGGCTGTGGCTCTGATGCTGTTTTCTCTCTGTTCCATTCCCTGTCCCCGAGCAGGTCTATGGACTCTGGCCTGAGGATGTCCTCCTGTCCATCTGCCCATAGGGCCTGCTGGCTCTGGGGTATGTTTGATTTCTTCCAGTCCTTCTACTGCCAGGATCTCCTCTGTCTCTGCCAGTCTCTGTCCATAAGTGCATTTGCTCTTAAAACCCCATCAGGCACAACAGGGGGCTGTTCCATGCTTTGGGTAGTGTTGAGCAACTAGTCAAACTCTTTGTAGTAGTGGCAGGTTGATAGTAAGTTTCTAGATTTGTCGTTGCTATTTTTTGTAGTGTGTGTTTTTTATTCTCTGTACACTGACTTTCCCTCCATATAATCCCCTCCTCTGCCAGACTCTTGGAGATGCTCCTTTAGAGGTGTGATTTTTGGTGTGTATCTCAAATTATGGTGCTTACTACACTAACTGTTCAAGTAAGCTGTGTAGAAATGCAGAAGACTGGGTGTAATGTGTTTATAAACTTGCCAGATGTAGTATATAAACTAATAGATGAGTTCCAGTGCAGAGAAAAGGAGCAGGTACAGAGGCAGGAAAATATGACCCCTACAAAGCCGTTAGAGGACAGTCACCTGGGTTACAGCTGCCTTCGCATGGGGGATAGGTTCTAGCCCCTTCCCCCAACCCTATCTTACAGTGAATCGTGAGTTCTAACTTATACCCCCAGCTGGGTAAGCAAGTCTGACAAATCCATATAAAAGGCTTCTTATGCATGGAAGAGAGGCTTGGGCTAAAATCAAGGTAAGAGTCTGGGCTAAATGAGTAGAGTTAAGCCAGGTTCTTTCTTGTATGTTGTCCCAGCTCCCCCATCCCCTTCCATCCACGCACACAAACATCTCACCTGAGTCGTGCTTTCAGTCCAGGCCAGCTAGCATGGCAGGGGGTATAGGGAGTAGTGCCTGGGTTCTGGTTTCACTTGAGCTAGTAGTACTCCTCCTGTGCTGTGAGAATGCAGACTAAATCATTTAGAGTGCTGATAGTCCTCCATTGTCTTCTCTCAGTTTCCTCCAGTGTGCCAAGGAGGACAGACAAATTCTCCCACAGTTCACTGGGAAAGAATCGGTTGCGCAGTTTACTGCAGCACAAAGAGCTATGGGATATATCTCCAGAAAGTCCTGATGATGCACATGGGGGAGCGCACCATAACTTGGGTAAGGGCTTGCAGTGTAGCTGCTCGTACACAGGCTGGAGTAACATGTGGTTCCTCATAGCATACATGTAACACACAATGAATATTAAACTGTCTGAATGCCTGCCATATACGTTTTGGATTAGACTTGCTTTCAGTGTGTCTAACTACCGGTTTGGTCGGAACTGTTTCAGCTAGCACTGGTTTAGTGCCAATATGAATGTCATTAAAATGGTTCAAACTGAAATGGTCCAGATGGGTCAACTACTCCCACAGTGCACCAGTAGCCTTTTGAAGTGTTCCAGAATCCATTGCTTCTGGGAGCTGTGCCAATAATTGGAATTAGGTAACCAGAGGGCATTGCAACTGAAAGTTCAGAAGAGCATTAGTGTGGGCATAAGGTAAAACTGCACCTTTTCAGAATGAGAGTCAATATCCAGTCCTAACATCCAATCCCTTCCTCTGTATTCACCTGGTGCAACGTCTCAGTATAGCAGTGTTGTTGGTTGTTACCACTTTTGTACTGCTCCCAGTGTCAATAGTCACCACCTAGCACCTGCCTTGAGCCAGGAAAACGTGTGTGATCTTAAATAAAACCCTAATAACCTGTAAATTGTGGCAGACAACACTACTAACACTTGAATCTAACATACTGTGTTTTACCAAGTGCCAAGGAAAATCTGTATAGTTCCCTGATCCCATTCATATTTTTTTTTAATGGAAATCCAGACTTCCAGATTTCTGAGACATGAATATGACCGGTCATCTCCGAAGAGAGATGCTATAAGGGGTAGATAAAAGTTTTTAGATTGAGTCCAACAGAGTTGATTTTGGAAATCAATACGCTTAACTGTTCCTGAGAACATTTTACATTTAAGTCCTTTGTTCGTGTCGTTTAATTAGAATCTATACAGAGCAGAATACATTAGCAGCAAACGCTAAGGCAGGATTGTGTGTACTTCCAGATAGCAATTTAGCCTAGTTTGATATAGTTCTATTGCACATCAGCGAGAATTCAAGATTGAGATCTAGATACAGAAACACACATAGGTGGAGAAGTTTAAATGTGCATCATCCAGAGATAGGCTCTGAACTGGAACCCAAGAGACCTGGGTTCTAATCAGTGTTTCATTATTTTAGTAACTACAGAAAAATCTCTAACAATATTCCTCTGCCTGTGCTCCTTCAATTCTGGTTGGTTCTCTGCCTCAACTGCCAAAGAATTCTTTGGATTAAGCATTTTGTATAACTAAATCGGGCAAATCTGTAATATCTGTAGATTGGATAGATCAGTGGTTCTGAACTGGGGTCTTGGGCTGCAAGCAGGTTTTTTGAGGGGGGAAACGCCAAGCAGGGCCAGCATTAGACTCCCTGTGGCCCAGGGCAAAAAGCTGAAGCCCCATCACATGGGTCTGAAGTCCTGGGCCCTGAGGACTGTGGCTTCACAGTGCTCTTGTGGTGTGGGGCATCAGGCAGTTGCTCTGTTTACTACCTCCTAACGCCTGCTCTGGCTTTTATATGCAGAAAACCAGTTGTAGCATAGCTGGGCTGTGGAGTTTTTATAGCATGTTGGGGGGTGGGGCTCAGAAAGGAAAATGTTGAGAACCCCTGGGCTAGATTGTATGGGGAGACTTTTTTTAAAGGCATTACATACACCATTATATATACACCAATATCCTATATGTTGCTTAAGACAATTTGTAAACGTTTCTTACCGGCAAATGGACAAGGAAAATATCTGGCTTTGTAATGTGTCTCATCTCAGTACAGTGAATATGAATATGGTTTGTTGAAATCGCACCTCTGACAGCTGGAGAAAACACTAGCTTTTTTGATGGAGATGTGGGGAGACTTTTTTCCTCCATCTGTTAATGGTAGTTCTTTAGAAAGAGGTCCCCCCCCCCCCCTCGTATGAGCACTGTGAGGAAGTCAGCTTGCTGTCTCTGGGATTTCTTTCCATTGGATGGACTCCCTTGTGACAGAATGGCCTCCTTGTTTTTAGTGTTCCACTCCTTTTAATTAGGGTTTCTGAGCTTGTTTATAGAGGGACCCCACCTTTATGTGGCTTGTTTTCATTGTCTCTGACTTTCAGCTATTAGGAGAACAGTGCAATGTCAGTAAGCAGATCCCAACCCATCAGTGTTGTTGGCACTGCTATCTGAGAGTATATTTTTGTTTCAGAAATCCACTATATTTCTCAAACTTGACTATTTTGAAAACTGAATAGCTATCTAGCCATGCGGGAAATAAATGGTTCTCACAAGTATTTATTCTGTGCAGCTATCAAGATATGTCTGGGCTGTTCTGTCCCCTGTGTATGTGTGCATGAAGAGATTTATGGTTCAATATGGTGACTTTTCAGAGTTAACACATTACAACTTCCAGATATCTTGTTTTGGGGAAACAATGTATCAAACTGATATCTTTTTCCTGTTAGTGACTGTATCAGTACGAGGGTTCAGTTCAGAGGATAGCTTTACCTAGCCAAAGGCTCCTACAATCTCAGATCACCTTACTTGGTTGCTCCATAGTTTGTCCTCAAAACTCAGGTTTTGCTTGCTCCCATTTCAAGTGATACGCCAAAGGGGGCAGTATCTCAGAGCTTGTTGTAGAGACCAGCATGAGCAATTTACTCATATATTTGATAATTTTCAAAGAGTAACATTATTTTCTCTGGATTTCACCTTCCACCTATCATGCGGTGTCTCTGTGCCTGACCCAGATTACCAATCTGGGTTTTTTCAGTAAGAGGATTTTGCATACTGTTGTCCCTTAGACAAGAATCTAACTTCATGTCAACAATGTGTCTATTTCGGATGTTGAGAGCTGTTGTTAGTTCTCGCTGTATGCACTGGCATATGAGGGATTTTGTATAAGGAACATGATTAAAACAGTGTTCTATTTACACTGCAGAAATGTAATATTATCACGGAGGGGATGGGGTGCCACAATGTTACTGGATTCTCCTCCCCCAAAGTGTAGATGACACCTGACACCGGTATGCAAATATACTGGGCTGGTGACCAGTACAGGGAGTGGATTAAGCATCTCTAGACTGTGCAGGAAAACCAGGGACCAGAAACACACGTCTGGCAACTCGCCAACATCGTGCCTATTTTCTGAGGCGTTTGACAAGCACAGAGCCAGCGGTGGTGCATGATGAACTAGTCAGCCGGGATGGTGCCCTGGTGGCCCCAGAATTCAGCATGGGGCCTGATGGGAACCAGCGGCAGGTGCAAAGAGAGGCCTGCAAAGTGATTCTGTTGCTGAAATGAGTCCCAGAGGAGGCTTTGATGCAGGAGCAGCACATCCTGCTGTACTTGGAGGAGCTGTTTGATGCCCACCCGGGGAACAACCCGGCCGCAGAGCCTGCAGACGACAGACTGGACAGAAGCTGCCTCGGAGCCTGGTAAGTTTCTGGCTCCATCTAATGTTTAATATAGGAATGGGATGGATTTCAGTTCTGTGAAGCACTGCAAAAGTTATTAAAAGCCCTGGTTAACAGCATGTATCTGCTAATGGCAGATTGTACACCAGTTGTGCACCTGTTTCTCCCCCCCCCCTTTTGTCTCCTCCTCCTCCTCCCCGCCCCCTCCCCCTCCCCCCTGTGGAATTCAAATTGGTGACCAGGAAATACAAACAATAAAAATGCCTTGAAAGTATTTATTTTACTAGAAAGGCACAGATTTTTGCTAGGGCATTTCTGTTTCTTAAAAATAATAACCTTACTGCCATACCTGTAAGTATGCTACTCTATAACCATCCAGTAGTGTAACAAGCCTTCTGGAAAGAGTGAATGGTATGGTGTGGTGGTAGTGGAAGTGTGTTCCATTCACAAATCTAGTCCATTTCAAGTAAAGGTAGTCCAAGCAGTACATAGGTGACACAATCATTTTGTCTCAAATTTGAATGGGTTTGAAAATGCATCTAGAAATATGCCAGAGGGTTGGGGTAATGGTTGTGGAGTTCTGTGTTGCATGTAATTATAACTGGCTAAGACACGTGGAACTTATGCAGCAACCTGTTGATTCCCTCATGAATTCTGACTCAATCTTAGGTGCTGATTAGATGTAGACTTTTCCTGAAGCCAGAACTCCAGATAGGTAATCACTTTTTGGTGAAGTGTGTATTTTTTAGGCCCACCTTGGTAGCTCACCAGGCCATTCCACTCATGGATGTGCTGTTCAGCCATTATATGTTTGAATATCTTCACTTCATACATTGCAGGTTTCCCACTGGCAGCTTTGAATATCATCTCCTTTTGTCAGTCAGGCACCACAGGAACGGTTATGTCCTCCAAAACGTGGAAGGCCTGAAATGATAGAAAAAGCCTTTGTAGCAACTGACAGATCTCCCCTTCCCCACAAGTAGTTATGCAATTTTTAGAAAACAAAAAACAGCTTTGAATTTTTAACTTACCAGTGTCTCAGTATTACTGTCATTGTAATTAACCAGTCTCTGTTCAGGGAGCATCTGTGGTCGGAAGCATCCCTTTCACAGTATATTGAAGTTCAGTTTGGAAATGTAACCCTTTGTCCTTGGAATTCCACAAGAATTTTTTCTGTGCTCCTGCAGTGAGCTGTTTGAGACAATAACTCTGTGTCTTGTCCTATTCCAGGCCCCTCGACCTCTAGTGACTGCAGAACCGCAGCAGCTCGCCCACTGTATAATACAAGCCTGGCTCAGCATACTGTCAAGGACTGTTCCAAGAGGAAGTATTTCTGTGATGAACTTATGATTGAAATTCTGGATAGGGTCCACAAGCAGGTCCAGTACCAAAAACAGATGGACTTGCGGCTAAAGGCGAGGCATAATGGGAGTCAAGAGGAAAGGCTGAGGCAGGCTGCACAGCTTGAAAACAGGGTTTCAGGGCAGGAGCAGGCATTTGTTTCACTGTTCCTCGAACAGGAGCAGTGGCTAAAGGAGGAAGACAGAGGTCAGCAGAGAGAACAGTTTGAGTTGCTGATGTCAATAATGGCTGAAAGAGTACTGACTCCTGCTGCATCACCCACATTACAGCCTCAGACCCCTGGGCAGTATCCTGGGATTTAGTCCAGAATCAGTTTGAAAAACTTCATGATTGTGTAGCCTATGCAGTCATGCCCCAATAGCGACTGGGCCAGGCAACTTGGACCAATGCGGTCCTCCATATCGACCTCCTTCCTGTGGATGCCTCCACCCCACTCGTGTGGCAAGAAGGGAAAGGAAGCCTGGGGGCCAGGGGTAGGGGGGTTTTGTACATAGTTTGATTATTTGCAGTTTTTCATGCCCTTTTTTCCTCCCCTGTTTGGTTCTGTTGTTACTAGGGTGTTGGTGTAGCAGTGTCAGCTGATCTGCCTGGCAGTGGGTGGATATTGTAGTTTCCCAAGACATGTTTATAAATAAAGCTTTCTGTGTCATTAGGAGAGTTTATTTCGATCACTGTCATATTGTACAATGTGTTTTTAAAATAACAAAGGTAAACACATGATCAAGGACAATTAGAAATTAGTAAGCAAATGCCATTCCTTTATACAATCCTCACTTCAGTCCCTTCTTTGTATTACTCCTGGGGAAATTCTGTGTACAATATTTTAAAATTTGGCATATTTTATTTGTTAAAATAACACTATATAATCACACCAGTTTGTTATTTTAGTAATTTATTTCAACATACTTGTTAGCAACGTCTAGCAATACAGACACCAAAAAAAAGTCCCCAAAAATAGTGTTAAAGAAAGCCCTATCACAATCCACTTCCTGTTTCTCTGCCCCCTCCCCCACAGAGTCCAACCCGGGGGCCAGACACCCTCTCCCCCAGAGCCCAGGGATCCAGAGGGAGAAACAGCCTTATGCTGGATCCCGGGTTTGTATGAAGTTTCCTGCACGCCATCTCCTTCGTTAGGGGTGTGCCGGGAACTGCAGCTGTCCGGACCCCTCCAGTTCTCTCTCTCCTCTCCTCTCTTCTCTTCCTCCCTGCCCCAAGTCTCCCATTTGCAAACTGGGGAGCAAGACTTGGCTGGGTCCAGCTGCTCTGCAGCCCATTTCTGCAAGGGGAAAAGGAAATTCTGCACAGAACATTCATTCTGTGCAAATTCTGCATTGCACAGTGGTGCTGAATAGAAATCTATCTACTTTCTGCCTGAGTAGACTGGTTCAGTGGCTCTTCTCTGTCATAGGTCCATTCAGAAGGAAATGGCTCACCTCTGGCTTCACAAAGATTGTGAAGATCACAGCAAGCTACAGTAATGCGAACAGCATTGGTGACTTGCGCATCCAAATGGGTCTGTAGATATCTCCAACAAGGATTTCAGTCTACCAAAAGCACATTCAGCAACCATTCTGCACCTGCTGAGAGTGTAATTAAGCAGTATTTTTCCAGGGCTTCCTGAATCAGGGTATGGTTTCATATGCCAAGGCAAAAAGGGCCGTGCGGGGATCCCTAAAATAATGGTGGGGTCAGTAATTCTATTGATAATGTCATTTGATGGGAATAATGTTCCAGCCTGTCATGAATCTAGACTCCCACTCATCACAAAACCCTGGCATCATGAACTTTCCCAGTGCAGCCCATGTTCACATTCATAAATGGACCTCTGGGGTCCATGAGGGCCTGTATAGCAATTGTGTAGTGCCCTTTGTGGTTAGTGCTTGTGCTCCCTGAGGAGGGCAAACTAGGGGCACATGAGTTGCATCAGTGGCCCCAGTGCAGGTTGGAAATCCCATTCTCTCAAATGCAGTTACTTCATGAATATTTTTTTAAACCACATGCCTGATTGCCACAGAAACCTCCACCACCACTTTACCCACAGTCGACTTCCCAGCCTTAAACTGGTTGGCAATGGACCTGTAGCAGTCTGGGGTAGCCAGCTTCCGGACGGTTATAGCAACCTGCTTTTGGATTGGCATGAGTGGCCTCATGCATGTTTTTACACTAGAGGATTGGGGCAAGCTGTTCAGAAAGCTCCAGAAATGTAGTTTTCTTCATGTGAAAGTGCTTAACCACAGCTTGTCATGCTAGGTCACCATGACAACGTGATCCCCTCAGCCTGCACTTGTGGCCCTGTACCAGAAGTGCCGGTCTACTTAGGGGGCATGAGTGACTGTACTGAGTGTCATGAGCGCCATCAGCCAGTTGGAGTCTGCCATGCTTGGGTACTCTGCTGCCGCCTCTTCCTGCTCTATCAGGTGCCTTTGGTGGGTCAGAAGATGCCACCGAAATATCCACCACCATTTCTCTCAAGCTCTGCCCGTTTCCCAACACAGAAGGGAAAGTGCAAGCAAGAGAACTTCTTCTAAAGGCACTGCCTCCATGTTGCTGGTTCCAGTAGCTGGGGGTGCATGGACCAAAATGATTGCTTGGCAGGATGTGTTGGCGGGCTGTTTAAATTTCCTATAACATGCAGTGTAGACAGTCAAACTTTCTCACCGTATGCCAATGTCAGGGATAGACCAGCCACATTTCAGAAGGGTGTTTGAGAGTCTGGTATATGGCTGATTTCACCTGGGTCTATGTGCTGCACTGTTGACATCAGAGCCCCAGGTTCGAGCCTGGGTTAGAAAAACCTTAATGTCCGGGTAACAATCATTGTAAACACTCAAGTCCTGGGTTCTGTAACCCAGGGTCTGCTGATTGGAGTCCCATTAACCCTGGGCTTATATTGCAGCGTAGACGTACCCTGAAGCGATTTTGAAAATGTTACCCTAAGATTATAGCTACAAGATCATATTAAGGTTGCTTTGGTGATTCATAATGTCTTTTTTAAAATACACATTGCGCTTTTAAATTTTAAATTAAAATATGTAAGGTTCTGTGTGTGGAAAGAAGAATTTGGGGGACTAAGTGTTGCGCTGTGGAGGAGAGACTGGGTTGATGAGTGTGGTGGGTAGGGACAGTGTGTGTGTGCTGAAGTAGCAGATGAATGTGGTAGTGTGAGAGGGGGCAGAAAGAGGTCAGAGTAAATTGTGGATTGGCAAAATGTGAATGTCCAAACTTCAAATTAGTTGTGCTGGGCCTGTACTTAAAATGGCAGCGGGGCATGGCGGACTGCTATGACTTGCTGTCTCTGGGTTTTAAGGACTGAAATTTATGAAGACAATTTTTTTATAAAAAGTTGCTTTGATTATTTTGTATTAATAGCATGAGGTGCTAATAGAAATAGTGAACTTTGTATTTTTAAATAACATTTATATCTGTTTTTATCCTCTACATAAGAGATGTACGAAGAAACTCAACTGAATGTTAACCTGCAAAATTAGTTTTATACTACTAACTACTTTGGATTGTTGCATCTTCTTTTTTTTTTCTTTTATTAGCAAAACCAAATAGGAAGTTGACATTCCTATACCTGGCCAACGATGTCATTCAGAACAGCAAAAGGAAAGGACCAGAATTTACAAAAGACTTTGCACCAGTTATAGTTGAGGCCTTTAAGCATGTTTCAAGGTACAGTAAACTGTAATGTGGGCATTGTCTTTTTAACTATTATTAAACCTGTGTGAGGCATTTTCCTTCCACAACACTTCATTTGTTCTGTCTGGCTCAGCAGCTTTCATGCATCCTGATTAAAGGAACCCTATCCTAGATCTAAAATCTATTTTTTTTTTCAATTTCTTCCCTGCACCTCTTAGTTTAAAAGCTCCTTTGATCTTGCATGTCAATCTTCTTTAGCATATGCCCAGTGGTACTGGAACACTGTTAATAGTGTGGGTGCTGAAAGCCAGCCCCCTTACCCTTATTTGTGGCTCTCCCCCACCCCCCGAGCTCTGACCGGGAGCAGGGCCTTGTCTCTGGGATGCAGGGACCTAGAAGGGGTAAGTGGCCTGAGGCTGGGGCTGGGAGCCCGGGCGCAGGAGGGACGGCAGCTGGGACCCCGCATATAGCCTAGGGGTACTGCAGTACCCCCCACACCATAGTTCCTGTGCCTATGCATGCACCTCAATCAGAATAAAGTTTATTAGCCTGATAATCATCTTTTCACATTGGAAGACTGTCGGTTGTGTTTGTCTTTTGTGTTAGGTCGAGGGTAAATGTTTTTTTCATTCATTCTAGTTATTGTATGTTACAATAATTCTTTATTCCTTAATGATACAGGTCTAGCATATGATTTCTCTGAACGCAATCCACCTATTTAGCACTTAAACTAGAAAGCGTATCTGTAGATGAATCTTTTGCATCTTCTTATGTAATAGGACTTCATTGTAAAAAAGATGAAATGCTAATTAATAGAGTAAGGGCGAAACTGATCTATCATGTTTCACTAGGTTTAAAGGCACTGTGAAGCATTCAGTGATTGAAGTAGGTTGGTGGGCTAGTAGGCATGGCCTTTATTTCAGTGTGATGTATTGAGGTGACTTTGAACAAGTCAAAACCTCCTTTACCCTTTCTGCAAATGAGGATCTTTATCTCACAGAGGTGTTGGGAGCTTTAATTCTTCGATATTTGTAAAATACTTCAGATTCTTGGATGCAAGATTATACAGGCTGAATTGTTTATTACTGGGTTGCACTCTACCATTTTTATTGGTGATTTTACTATTTCCCCCACAGTGAGTCTGATGAGAGTTGTAAGAAGCACCTTGGCCGAGTGCTCTCTATTTGGGAAGAAAGGGCTGTTTATGAAAATGATGTATTGGAACAACTTAGGCAAGCTTTGTGTAAGTATTCTGAGTGTATGTGTGTTTCAGTCTCTTTAAATAAATGTATTGTTTCCTGAACTGATTTTTAGGTCTCTACTTTGACTTTTAGATGGTGACAGAAAGGCCAGGAAGCGTACATTTGAACAGATAAAAGTTGATGAAAATAACTGTTCAGCACAAAGTTCTCCAAGTGACCCTCCACAGGTAGAAGTCTCTTGTGTTCATAAACTTTTATCATTTCATAAGGTTTGGGATATGTTTAAAAATAAACCCTTCAGTCACTGAGTAATACAGAACCAACTCGGCATTGCGTCCCATTTTAAGGGCCAAATTAACACTAAAAGCTAGAAAGCTGATTAAAGATGGCTTTATGCAACCTTTATTCTTCCCCAATCCTTGGATTATCATGAGCAAAACAGCCCCTGGTGTAACTTGGGGAAGCCCCAGTGCTGCTCTCAACTATGCTGGCTGCAGAGGCCTCCCATAGGGAAGGACTGCTGTGCACTCCAACTCTACTTCAGGCACTTACTTATATTAGAGTGGTTCATAGGTATCAAGTGGGTTATACCAGATTTATGCTTCCAGAGTCTTCTGCCATGCTGATGGAATCTTTATTGCCCTCTTTGGAGCTGGTTTATGGTCTTTGTGGTTCTCCAGTGGTGTAAAGGAACCTCTCTGGGGAAGAGGCACTGGCCCTTAAAGTGTTGTTACAAGTAAATCTCTAAATTTTGGGGGGAGGTGGGGGATTAATTGAAGATTTACGATTCCTTTAATTTGTATTTTACAATACTCATTACAACAATCTGTTGTGTACTTCTCACTTTTAGGGGTACTGAAATATCTTTCTTAGTTACAATACTTCTATATCTTGGCTACAAAGTACATCAGTATCTTAGCATGTTATAATTTTAGCAAATTTGACCCTTTTTAAAAAACATTTTTAAATTGTAGTGTTTTTATATACATTTTTAAAATACCAAAAATGTTTGGCTTTCAAAGTTAATAGTGAAGAAATAAACATAAGATAGGACTATTGTAAATGTAAAATATTGATTATACAATTATATCAAATTATTATCCATAACAATGTAATATTTAACACAATTTATTTTACTCTATATGCAAGGACTTTCATAATTTACATACTTGTCACCATGTTGTGCGTATGGCTTTTTGTTATGTCACTTTCTCTTCCCAGAGGGTTTTTATAGTTATAACTGGGGATGCCAGAACAGTAAAGTGTGTGTGTGGTTTTTTTGTTAAGAACAGGGCTTTGGAGATAATCAAAATTTAGTACACCCTATTGCAGCAAATAATTTGTTTTTATTACTTTGATTTAAGCTCAACTTCATGAATATGCTACCATTGAAATTACTGCTATGCTTTTATGGTATGATGTGCCTACCAGGAAAAGTTAAGAAAAAAGTAATTTAATATGTTGCACTTAATTTAAACAATTTAAAAGTACAGAGTAAAAATGAAGAATACCCCCAGGTAGTCATTACCAATAAACCTTGTACTTCATATTTAAAAGTTGTCCTATTGCAAGAATTTAAAGGAAAATGAGACCCTTTTTAGCAGGAGGATCATTCTTAACATTTGGAACATTGCAGTGCTGCTCCATGGGGAATTAATTAAAGCTGTTATGTTGACATTTTATCTCTTTTGGGTGAGGGAGGGAAGACGTTGGTAATGCTGACTTTGGCAAAGTAGTTTTTAGATCGATACTGTCAAATCGCATCCCATAAACTCATTGTGAAATGATGCTGACATTCTGTATCAGGATTTGATGACTAAACCAGTTCTAAGGCGGTGTGCTTTTTCAGACTACAGATCTCATTAGAGCATTACAAGAACTAGAAAATGCAGCCTCTGGGGATGCAGCAGTTCATCAGAGGATAGCTTCATTGCCTGTAGAGGTCCAAGATGTGTCCTTACTAGACAGAATAACAGGTGAGAGGTGGGGATGCAGTAACTGAAATGTGAGCATGAGAGAGCCTGACAAGATTTTGTAATGTATTGCTATTTTTTTTCTTTACTTGTCTTTTAGATAAGGAATCTGGAGAACAGCTTTCCAAGATGGTAGATGATGCTTGTATGGTACTGGCGGATTACAATGGCAGGTTGGCGGCTGAAATAGATGATAGAAAACAATTAACTCGAATGTTATCAGACTTTCTGCGATGTCAAAAAGAAGTCCTTGCAGAAAAAGAGCATAAGTTGGAAGTGCGTAATATTTTGTTCAGTTAGTCCATGTTCTTCATGAAATTAATGGTTGTTATAAATGTTTAGATGGTTTAAACTTTCTCTCAAAGGTAAATATTAGGTGCCCGCTTCTAGCACATGACTAGCAGGAATTTCCTAGCTTCAAAATTCTAAAACCATTAAGCCACTTACACATTAGGTGGTATGTTGAGGGAAAGTTCTCCCTCTATATCTAGCTCACTTCCTTTTTTTACCTCTGATATTGAAAAAGTTCTTTTGGTTATTGTTTTACGCTTGGTCTTCACTGAAAAGCTATGTTGGTGTAGTTATTTTGGTTGGGGTGTTTTAAAAAAAAAAAAACCACATTGTTGACTGGCATAGCTATGCCAACAAAAGCCCTGGTGTAAACACAGCTATGTCAACAGGTGGTTCTACTGTTGTAGCCTTCAGTGGTTGCTTTTTCTAAGCTCTGTTCACAGCTTTCTTTTTTGTGGGGGGGCTTATCTAAGTTTAACAGAGCTTTCTTATCTGCATTGTTCAAACAAAATAATTTGCTAGATGGGATCTGGGAGCTTAACTCTTCACCCAGCTAAGGTCTTGCTAGATTTTTCTGTTCTGAAATAAGATTTCATTATTGCTTGAATTTTTAAGGTATCAATCACTGTAGTACTGAATTACTACATTACATAATTTAATGATGTATCATAATTTCATATAAAGAGCCATGTTTTCCTCCCATCCCTCAGAAGTGCATAATGTTTTGGGGAAAAATGTCCAGCACTTTAAATTTAGTGATTACTGCTTTGAGGTGCCCCAGCTGTCTAAGATGTTTTAAGATGGATTGTGAGTTAGCTGATTGTGTGATCTACATCCAAGTGTTGCTGCAAGCGCTCTTGTCCCAGAGTTACCTTTGTTGGACTGACCAGATGCTTTCATTCAGTCCAGCAAGTTAACATGAAAGATTACAAAGCACAAGTCTGCATACATCCTTAAAAGTGCTCCATGCTTTCTCTCAATGCAGGTCAAGGTCTGCATCTGGAGAAGCCACTCAACTCCAAAAAAAAGAACAGGAGTACTTGTGGCACCGTAGAGACTAACAAATTTATTAGAGCATAAGCTTTCGTGGACTACAGCCCACC